ACCACATGGGGTTTTCCCTTGTCCTGTAGCTTGGGGAATGTTCTGTTTCCTAGGCCTATCTGGAAATTTCACCTGAAATTCTTTTCTTATGTCAGGGCCTTGGGACCTGCTGATGTCTGTGATCTTTTCTGGTTTCCAAAAGGAGATTTGGAGAACATTTTTCTCCCCATTGTAGGGATGTTTGAGGCCCATTCTGCGGATCTTTCTGCACTGAATGTCTGCTACATGGCTTTAATGGCTCTTACAACCATTTGCAGTCATAACCATTCAGTTTATCGTCAGCTGTGCTAATACTCACCATGATTTAATCTATATAAATCAAGTAAATATCGATTTATTAAATTTTCAGGGTTGTTCCTTGTATGGAAAAGCCATTATGCAGTTAATATGTTCTAAGACTGGCAATTTGGCTTTTATAAATTGCAGATTGTTTTTTGCCTCAGCTCAGAGCCATGTGAGACTCTACCACCCATCCCTGTATTGTGTTTTTGCACACCTCACCAGCATGATTCATGGTTTGGGGCTCAGAGGTGCTGCTGGTTTGTCTGATAGCCACATTTTCTATGTTGTGGGGCTGATTCACAGCCTTGCACAATGCAGGACACGGTGGTTTGTGCTGACTGACTCTCAGATAGCTGCCCTAACATATTTAGTGTGGACTTATCCATCTACCAGTCTGTGCAGGGTATGGCATCTGCTCCCTTGAATTTAGTTATTCTTTGTCTGATTTATAGCACAGGCCTGTAATAAATTATCTCAGCACAGTTGGAGTGCACTGAACTACAGATTAAGAGCTGGAATGAGTGGGGAGGGCAGGGACTTCATAAACCAGATTTATGGAATCAAAACTTTTTTGTTGTTGTTGTTTTGGTACTATAATAGAAGCTAAAAACTTAAGTGTTAACTTTATAACGTATTTCAGCAAACTCTTTCCTAACTCTACTAATCTCATATAGCTAATCTGTGGTTTTTAAAATAAACGTACTGGAACTCCAACAACTGCTGCAGAAAGCAAAGACTGTTTCATTGTGTTGAAGTCCAGTGCATTAAATCTGTTGGTGTTTTCTTCACTGAGACTTTTGAAAAATGCTTTTTCCATGTTGATGTAAGTCACTCTCAGCACAGCTGGAGTGCACTGACCTACAGATTAAGAGCTGGAATGAGTGAGGAAGGCAGGGACTTCATAAACCAGATTTTTTTTTTTTTTTGGTTTTGATACTACAACAGAAACTAACAAAAAGTTATCTTAAGTGTTAACTTTAACATATTTCAGCAGACTCTTTCCTAACTCTGCTGATCTCTCTGTAATTAATCTAATCTGTATTTTTAAATAATCCTGCAACTCCAGCAACTGCTGCAAAAAGCAAAGATTGTTTCATTGTGTTGAAGTCCAGTGCATTGTTGTGTTTATCAAATCAGTTGGTGTTTTCTTCACTGAGACCTTTGTAAAATGCTTTTTTGTGTTGATGTAAGTCACTCTCTAGGCACTGGTCAAATATTGCTCTGCAGTGTCTGTTCAGCTCTTAATCTGCACTCACAAACCAAGCACTGAGCTTCATCCTCTCCCTCAGTGAGCACAGTTACAGGCTTTGCATTAGCCCTGGGGGCACAGAAAACAGGAAAAAAAAAAATCTATGAAGCTAAATGGGCTGTGATGGGAGGAGGTGTGCACCTATGCCACCCCTTGGAACCCCAAAACTGGGAACAAGGCTTCCCAGGTTACAAACCCAGGGGAAGCTGAAGAACAAAGAGCACTTAGAGACAAAACCAGATAAATTAAAAACAGCCTCTTGTAAGCAAGACTCCTTTGCAACCAAAAAGGGTAGACTTAGATGAACAAGATTGATGGGAAAGAGATTCTTCACATTCCATTTCATCTCACAGGTTTCAGTGCAGTAATCTGGCAGTTTGTTATGGTGATGCATCTCTCTTGCTAATTATTAAAATTATTGTCAGAAGTAATTTCAAAATCTAGGTTTATAAAGAGGCTGTGGTGAGTTCAGGATGCTCAAGCTCTCAGAGTTGAATTAATTTGTTTTTATTTAACTTTCAGAGTTGAATTAATTTGTGTCAGAAGTTGGATTCCAGAAAGCACTTATTAAAAGTGAGTCAGAAATCAATTCTGTTTGTTTTCCTCAAATATACTTTACATAAAAGAAATTTAATTTTAGTGAATTTATTAGTGTCTCTTTGCAGAAAAGCAATGGATTGACAGTTGATCTAAATTGCTACAATTGTTTAAAAGGTCAAAAACTACAGCACTTAGAGACAAACCATTCTATTGCTCTAGAAAAGTTTTATTAACATGCCCACACATATTGAGTATAACCAGGGGAACTAAAAGCCTGGATTTCCCAAGTTTGAGAAGCTGCTCTGTGATTTTGACTGAGTTTTCTGTCAGCACTTCCAGGAGCTGCTGCTTAAGAGAAGCTGTTGCAATGGCCCTTGGCAGGGTGGTTTTTTCTCTGTCATATTTAACCCAGCCACGTCTAAGAGAGCCAAGAAAATAAAGTCCAGACAGTTCTGTGCAACACCTCAGTGCAGGCAGTGATCTTATTTAATGCAGGTCACAGCACCCATCCTCATGGTCACTGAAGGGCCAGAATAAATGTTGTTTCTCTGCCTGAAATTCTCTTTTTCTAGTGACTTGCCATTGTAGCACTTAGAGAAATACACCTGAAGGTTAAAAAACAGAGTGAAAGGATAAGTTTTGGTGGTGCCTCACCCTAAAGCTGGCCTTGGATAGGCCCCATGAGGTGATGGAGTGTGGCCTGAGATAAAGCCCTAAATCCTGTGTTGGTGTGCCCAGCACACAACAACCCCCCAGGAAATGCTGTTATGAGGTCTGAAACTGGCCAGGTGCTTTTACCTTCCTTAAAAACTGGTAAATGCTCATTTTCCTGTTTTCAAGTCCATTTGTGGTAGTGCTGGACCATGAGAGCTGTTTCAGTTGTGTTCCTGGGTTTGCATCTCCCTTGTTTGTAGTCCAGCAAAACTCCAAAATGGTGATGAATTAAAGGGCATTTCCTCCCAGCTCCTGCCTGCTTCATATTTAAATGTTACTGCCTCCTTGGCATCTACTTTGACATGAAATGCTATAGATTAATAAGTAATTATGGGGTTTTTTAAAATAGCCTAGGAAGAAAAATAACTTTTGAAGGTATTTTATTTAATCCACAAAAAAAAAAAAAAAAAACAACCTTTTGCTTTGAAATAAAAAATGTCTTGTTTACAGCCCATGTTCCAGATGTCTTCATCTGCTGTTCTTTGAAATGTTTACCAAAAAGCTTTGTTGGATAAAGAAAAGGCTGTGGGGATTTCAGTGACAAAAGGGGCACTGCAGTCTGTTCTGGGGTGGTACATTGAGGGACTGAGAGCCTGCAGAGGAATTGCTGGTGTAATGCAAGGAAAAAAGGAGGTGGTTTCAACAAATTAAAAATAAAGAGCAGAGTGGTGCAATAAAAAGGACAACAGCACCCGGAGCATGTCAGATTTTGTGGTTTGGACCTAGAGGCTCAAAGGGAAAAGAAAACACATAAAAGAGGCACCACTGGTTAGCAGTGCCCAAGTAAAGATTGGTGATTTGGGCAATTATATTTGACATTATAGTCATTACAGTCTTTTTTTTACAACTGGCAAAACCCAGTTCAAATCCTCCAGAGTGTGTATGAGTTGATGTATTACTCTATGCTTTATTTTATTTTAAAACAGAAAAAAGCTTTACTTGACTTAAATGACTAATTTGTCCTGCACCAAGTTGTTTTTTTCTAATTAAAAACTTTTCTTGGAGGGGAAAATAGCACCACAAAATTTTTGAACCAGCACTATGACTTTAATATGAAAGAACTAAGTGGAAACTATAAACATAAAGATGAACAGTTTCTACCCAGCAGGGTATCTAATGTGAGAAATGAAAACAGAGCTGCCAAGAAGTAATTGGTATTATGAGAAGTATAGAATTTCAGTCATATAAAGTTATGAATCACAGAATCATGGAATGGTTTGGTTTGAAAGGACTTAAAAGGTCATCTCATCATGGCGGGGATGCCTTCCACCATCCCAGGCTGCTCCAGCCTGGCCTTGGGCACTGCCAGGGATCCAGGGGCAGCCACAGCTGTGCCAGGGCCTGCCCACCCTGCCAGGGAACAATTCCTCATTCCCAATATCCCATCCAGCCCTGCCCTCTGGCAGGGTGAAAATCTGGGTGAATTCTTTATGCCTTATTTTGAGCCCTGTGGTGCTGCTGGAGGTGAACTCCCTCAGAACAGGTGCCTGGAATAACATAATTGGGTGTGTTCAGAGTAACTTTATTGTGTGCACAGCCCCATAAATCATGCTGAGCTGGCTCTGAGCTGCCTTTTACCTGCCTTTCCTGGGATGAGCTGATGGAGATCTGTAGGAGCAGAGCACAGGTTTGGAATGGGATGGCAGGGAATAGGTGATTGGTAGAAAATGCTGTGGATGTTTGGATCTGTCACACATGGTTTTGGCAAAGTGCCCTGGTTTTTCTGCAGCGCTCTATGATCTCTTCAGGAATCGAGTTTCCCTTCGTTTCTGGATGTGGCTTTCTAGAGAGCGCTGAAGTGCTTTTTTCAGTGAAAATACTCCAAGTGCTACTCTATGGTCTGAGTTATGGCATAGAGTTGTAGTTAATTCCATTTTTCCAGCTTGCATAACTTGCTTTCATGCAACTTTATTGCTTATAATGAATGTTCTGTAATTATAAATGGTGTTTAGGCAATGCTTCCAACAATATCCACTTTCCCTGCTTTGTATCAAACTTACATAGTCCCCTCTGGCCATTGAATTAAACACAGAATTCTGTGAGAATTCTCAGAAATATTTTCCAAGTTCTCATAGAAAGATTGACATGTTTTGCATATTTTAATTTAAACAGTTTTTTAAACCCAGCATCATTTAATTGTTTTCCCTTTGCAGTTCCAATTAAAAAAGAGAACGGGGATTCCTAAAGTAAAGAAGCTAATTTCTTTTTGCCTTCTAAGCATTTAGCTATGAGGAATGAAAGAAACACAGATTTGAAGGGTTTTCTGTAAGAAAAAAAAAGAGCAGTGAAATGCAGCAGCAAGGCAATGATGCTAATTACAGAGGCAGTAGAGAAAGGAAATGTGTCAAATTAGTCTCAATTGCATGGATTTGATTTTGCTCTTTATGTGAAAGAGTGCAATGGTGGAAGAAGTATCCTGCAACAATATTCCCTTCAGCTGCCACTGGGGAACAAAGCTGGAGCTGTCCAGGAGTCCTGGGTCAGGACTTGCCTCTCAGACACCCCTGGGTGGGTTTTGTGTGTGACTGAAGGAGGACAGTGACACAGAAATGCCTCCCACCAGCCCTTGTGCCCTCTGCACTTTGCTGCAGTGCTCTGTGTGTGCACACCTGGGCAACCTGCAGCTACCACCGTCAGGTCCTGCCAGGGTGTGGGAACCCACAAAATCAGAGGGTTTTGGGAAAGCTGCGAAAGGCAGGCCTCAGAGACAGCAGAACTGTGATTATAACTAAGCAGCAGCCATAAGATTGGTCAGCAGAAAAATTATTTAAAAAGTAAAAAAGAAAAGACAAACAGAACAATGGTCTGTGTATTAATGCTTGTATAGAATAACTCTGTAAGCTACAGAAAAGTTTATCTAGCAAGATATGAGGAAGTTTGAAGCTTAATAATGGAGCTCTGTGCATTGTGTTTTAAGGCTTACAAGCAGGTATTGTATTTGAGATAAACAAGCATTGTTTAACCAAAATAGGGTTGAGCTCCCACCGAAATATGGCCATGATGGATCAGGTCCAAAAGGCTCAAAATTAGCAGTTGTGTGGAAAAAAAATAAGTGTGGGCTATGTGTTTCAATGGACGACTGAATGATTCATGGTCCAGTAATGCTGGCAGCAAAATATGATTATTGAGGGGACATTGTGGGTTTAATTCTATGCTTATTAAGGTAGCAGCAACATGGCATTCGGTGCTTTATATGCCTGTAATTAACTTTTGGCTTGGTTTGGGTTAGTCATGTTGTAGCTTTCTGTAATTTGTGTGGGATGTGGATGGTTCTGTTCCTCTGGAGATGCTCTGATCAATGCAGGTAAAGCTGGTGGTGACTGAGGAGGTCAGGTAGCTCAGCCCCCTTCCCCAGCAGAAGCAATTAGACCTCAGCCATACCTGACAGTTAATTAGCTTGCCTGTTCTTCAAACCCTCCTGTGGCAGAGATTCCACTCTTCCTTGGCAATTGATTTCTGTGCTGAGCCACCTTGACAGACAGAAAGATTTCACTAACATCTGAGCAAAATTTTCCTTGCTGCAGTTTAACCCTTCTTGTCCTATCTTGAGATGAATAGCTTTGTCTCCTTCCCCTGACAGCAATTTTCTGTAATGGAAAATTGTTGTCATGGAGGCTTCACAGCATTTTGAATTTAAAAAATCACAGAACCTTCAGTCTCCTCTCATGGGTCAAGTTTTTCAGCTCACTGAGTCATTCTGTTGCTTTTCTCTTGGTGTTTTACAATGACTGGAGTTCCTGGCCTGTGGGGAAGCCTTAGTGAAGCCACAGCAATTCACAGCTAATGGAATCCTGGACTGATGGAACAAATTGTTCTGGGCAGGACCTTAAAGCTCATCCAAATCCACACCCTGCCATGGGCAGGGACACCTTCCACTGTCCAAGGCTGCTCCAAGCCCCAAAGTCCAGCCTGGCCTTGGGCACTGCCAGGAATCCAGGGGCAGCCACAGCTGCTCTGGGCACCCTGTGCCAGGGCCTGCCCACCCTCACAGGGAGGAGTTTCTCCCTGATACCGCACCTAAACCTGCCCAGCTCCAGGGTTTTCCCACTTGTCACTACTTGATCTTGTGAAAAGCTCCTCTCCAGCTTGGGTGGAAGTCCAGGGGCTGGCAGGAGCAGGGACAGGCACCTGCCAGGTGGGTGCTGGCTCTGGGGGCTCTTTGCTGGCAGGGCAAGGCAGGGTGGGGAGGAGAACAGAGGGTTATAAAAGGATCCAAATCCACTGGAGAGGGTCTGAAGGAGGGTCACAGGGATGGGGAAGGGTCTGGAAGGGCCACACAAGGAGTGGCTGAGGGTGATGCCTCAGGTTTTATCTTTTGT